CTTTCCTCCCAAGAAGCAGGCATCTTTTAATTTCGTGGCTTCTGTCACCATCTGCAGTGATCATGGATCCCAGGAAAGTAAAATCTGTCACTGCCTTCAAATTGCCTCCACTTGATGGCAAAGTTGATGGCAAAATTGACCCAGTGAGGGTCAATTTAAAGAAAGCAGAATTTGAGTGGTGGGTAAAGAAACTAAAGAAAAGATGTGTTCTCTTTGACATATAACAAGAAAAGTATTTACCTCATAATTCTTTTTGAAGAACTGTATCATACATGGCTAGATAGATGGACAGACAGATATTTGTACACTCATACATAAATACATATGCACACACATTGAACTCTGCCAAATGTTTCATGTGGCTTTAATCTTTACAACCTTATCTGCTAAGATTATAAACATTAAAGCCACACGAACCATTTAGCAGGTCCCACTGTGCAATAAGATATGTGTCTCTTCAGGTCATAAAACTGACAAAGCAATTGTATGACTAAACTATCCTCTTTTTTTCTTGCTAATTAATGTGGTCAAAGCAAATGTTATTCATCATCATCATGGAACTGCAGAGCTTAAAGGGACCCTATGGATCATCAAGCCCACCCTGTCAAGGAAGCACAGTGGGGAGCTGAATGCTCAATCTCTGGCACTGCAGACAGATGCCTAAGCCACTGAGCTATCTAGCAGTTAAGAAATGTAGAAAATAAACAGCATGCAATTTATTTCTCCTGGTACAAGAGAAATAGTATGAGAAAGAGACAGAGGATAAGATGTTACAGTATATTGGTGAGAATCATTCTCAACAGAGATGAGGGTGATATAATTGATCAAGATGAGCAGATTTTCTTCTTTCCCAATGAATCACTTTTAGATGAAAAGATTGGAAAGACAGGTGCAAAACAATAGCATGAGCCTGTTTCTAGTGTATTTACATAATTTCATATAAAAAAGCACTGAAGCATGAAGTGTAAAACGAATGTGTTGAATTCTGAGAAAAGGAATGACTTAACACTCTCTCCCCAGCTATAAAGTTACTTAAGATTTCATGAAATACATTTACTGTGGGGCAAGGGGAGGGGGGCATTGATTTGATTGTGAAATCCTGAGTGGGCACTTGAAAGGAAGCAAAAGATACATGACAGTTACTAGCCATTTGCTTCTTTTATGCAAAGTGCTCCGTGCAGCTGCATCTTGAATAGTTTGCTATTGTCTTTGGCCACCTTTTTGGGACATTGCAGATGCTAGATGAAAACGATACACTCCAATAGCATACTGTATGGTGGATTCCTTCCTGTTTTCTCATAGCATTCTTGCACAGAGATCTGAGCTTGCTACTTTATCAGCATTGCTTGGTATTCCAGGCATGTTGATGATGGCATGTTAGGTTTAAATAAACAAGCTCAAGTTGAAGCACATGGATATGATTTACAATGCAGCAACCATCAAGTGAGAACTGGCACCTTGCGTAGTGCAGATGCTCCTGCCATCAAGTTCAGTGGGGTGAGTGAAAGAGCATGGTGGACCATAGTAGATAGAAGATAGTTTCTGATTCAGCCCTCAGAAGCTCTGATTAGAGATATCAGATACCGAAACTGGAAGAGATCTCCCTGAGATCCTGGAAAACAAGTGCTGGTCACTCAATAATGCATGGCATGACCCAGTGATCTCACTCAGTGGAAGGCAATCATCAGCTCCTGGACTTTCTCTGCAGTAGGTACCATCCAATGACATTCCTGTCCATTTCAGATCTTGCAAAGTTTACTGAAGTCCTCTTTCTTCAGAGGAACATTTTTAGTTTAGGACTGAATTTATGGAACATATGGTTTCCTACCATATACATGTGTCAGTTGAAGTTGATTTGAAGTAGAATTAGACAAACTAGAACATGCCCACAGGAGGACAACTGGGCTGGTGATGGGTCTAGAAGCCAAGCCCTAAAACTAACAGGTGGAAGAACTGGGTATGTTTAGACTGGAGAAGATTAAAAGAAGGTTGTCACACAGAAGATGTTCCTTTTTGCTCCAAATGAAAAATCCTTAACCAAATGATAGAAATCTGCAAAGAAGCAGCTTTTGGCTAAAAATTTGGATGGGTGGGGATCTAATGATAAAAGCACCCCACAAAAATATGTTGTAGTTCTGCCTGGAACTAAGAATGAGGTAGAGAATGAGTTTGGATGTGGAAAAATGAGACAGTCAATGAGATCAGCTTTCAACAGCCCAACCCTAACATCTACGCACCAATGAAATAACTAGCTTTAGTCATTAATGCTTCTCATTTCACAGGGGACTTTTCACATTGTAATGAATTAAATGTAATAATATGTCTGTTTATATTTCTTTCATGTAGGTCATGATGTCACATATGTTAATTTTTTACACCTTTAGAAAAACTAGGAAATGAAACACACATACACCCACACAATTTTCTAGCATGGGAATGGACTCACACTCCATGAGCTTCTGAATCCTGTATTTCTCCATAATCATGAAATTAAGCAGTCAGCAGTATGTATCTCTGAAAACAAGATCTGTTTCAGGAAGAATTTAATGCTTTTCTATTATTAAAACTTTCAAAAACAATGTTGACCAAGACTAGCTGATAGCTAGTTAGAAAAGGGCTGTTTCTTGTTGGACTTATTATACTGATTAGTCATGTTTACAGGTGAAAGAAATGTTCCAATAGGATAAAAGGACTCCTAACAGTACTGACTAAGATGGACTAGATGGGGATTTGGTCTGATTTGGGGACGGTCTGATTCACTCCTTTTTCTGGCAAACACATGACATACAGGCAATTGTAAATGAGGCTGTTCCTGATCGCCTACCCACATCTTTTGGGGTCTTTGTCAGGGGACAATGGTATGGGGGTTGTTTGTTTATTTGTTTGTTTGTTTTGGTGCAGGTAGCATCTCTCCATCTTGGTTTGGTTCCAGCATTTGCGATCACCATAATAAAAGAAAAGCAGGTAGTTTAATCTGTCATTTTGCTCAAGCTACTCCATTATATTGGGAAATGAAAGCATGCAAAAGGTCACGAACTCTACCAACCACAAGGTCAAGGGGATCACTACCATCAACCACAGTGACAGATAATCTCCTTATCACAACAATACACCCACAACAAAACACACTAATCACCCATCCACAGAAAACAATACACCCATAACAATACACACTAATCATCCCACCTCACAGCCATAAATACTCCACGCCCTAGCCAAACTACACCAGAGCACAGGTTGCTGTCCTCTGAAGATGTCGGCCACAGAGACTGGCGAAACGTTAGGAAAAACCACCTTCAGAACACGGCCAAGAAGCCCGAAAAACCCACAACAACCATTTTGTTTGTTCTCCTTTTTCTCTCTTCCTATCTCTCTAAAGAGAGGAAGGGACAAATAGAATCTCTCGAGGTGCAGTGTGTTTTTCTGCTCTGAAACCACCTGATCCTTGCATGTGGCTGCAAAGATGATCCCAAATTACATACCACATCTCAAAATGACTTTGTTTAGCACAATCTAGCACAATACAGCCCAGGACTGGATTGTGCTAGATTGTGCCATATGGTCAGCCCTAAAACACACAATTGCCTTTCCTTTCCTTTTGTTGAATATTATAACAGCCCCTCTCTACTTTATTGCTGTAGTGGCACATGCAATATCTTCACGTATGCATAGGCTGGTAGTAGTCCTTAACAGATTTCACAGATATCTGAAGCCCATTCTCACCCATGCTGGGCCACCACTTACTACAACTTTACCTGAATGGTGTAATCCTGTGGCCAGGTTATTGACTAGTCCACGAGCATATGGGGTAAGTAGTCAACTTGTATGTGCCTAAGTCATTAACTTGGGGGAGGGGGTTTATAGTGAAATCTTAAATCTGATGGAAAGTATTACAACAGTCTCAGTATGACTTTGAGCCTCACAGCATTCCTGCCAAGAGAGCATGGTGTAAGATCCTCATAAACCCAAATTCACCATGAACATTCCAGTTCTGTTTCTAGGTCAGATCACAGGACCATCTTGATTTTTTAAGATTCTAGATTCAGTAGATATGTGCACAATTCCGCATATATGACTGATTCAGGCATCAAATAAGCTACTCCTGGGAACCAAGCTTTCATCTATGTTCACATACAGTTCCAGAAATTCCTATATGTTAACAGAAGGGGCAGCTTAATATGCACATCCCTCATGCTTTAGACAGAACATTTCTGCATATCTAGAAACCTTATCATATAGTATACCTCCATTTTTGTTAGGTATAATGTCATTTCATATGGGGTTCTTTCTATCAAAATCTTCATTAGTATATTTTTCTGAGTCTAAGAAAGAGGATAAAGTATCCAGTTAACATATAAAGATCACTCTTCTGCCAAAGTAATGCAAACTGAGATACTGTGAGTAGATATAAAGAAATCCAATTAAGCATTGAACTCAAATCAAGCTCAGGGCTAATCTAGAAGAAACTACAAAGAAATCTTGTGAGATTTTTCTGGCATTGATAAATTATATTTCTCCCTTTTCCTTTCTTTTTTCATTACAAAAAAAATCACATAGGAGCAACTGAAGGATGATGATGCGGACTTTATCATCAATAATGATGAACTGACTCTGAATAATGAAGCCTCAGCCCTTCCACCAATGCCAGCACAAATAAGATTAGGATCAACCCATCCTGCAGATGAAGGAAATATTTATGAAGGAGACCTTGGTTTAGGAGGATATGAACTCCAGCCAGAACCCGCATCAGGTCAATCTCGGATGGTTTCCTCACACTAATATTCAGTGAATACATGTATTGTGAGGATGATGGGGAACACAGAAGCCATGTTTATTATGCAGAGCTTTCCAGAAGCCTGAAAATGTATTAAGGGCATCAACTGAAAAGAAACAAAACCTTGCTGAATCTATAGCTGAGCCTGAAGGAATGAAAATTTATTACCATCCTTATATATAATACAACTACATTTGATTTTTCTGACAGTGGCAATTTTTAATAATGGAATTGAGGGCACCGTCTGTCTGCTACTGGGACATTACATATGCGCTCCTACTCTCTGATCATGCTTCATCATCTCCGTTCCTATCTCACAAACGCACAAAGCCCTTTGAATGCTATTCTTCTAATTAATTCAAGAGAGAGGGAAGGATGGGAATTTAGTTAACGAGTACATGCTCCACAGATCACAGACACTGCAATACTGTTCCTCCCTTACCAATAGACTGCCTTATGGGGTAAAATGGACAGATATTCTTTTTTTACACTCTAGAGGGGATTTCCCTTTTCTCACTGTTGTTACAAACCCGTGTGAGTCTTTCAGTCTGTGGCAGTTTGCCTTTACTAATGCAGCTCATAAAACTGATATATGAGCTGCTGAAACTTAAACAAATCAATAGCGGGGCCTTGAGATTATTATTTTGATTGAGCATGATCACACATATAGATAATTATGTTTTCCCCCAATCCATTTGTTCATAGTTGAGTATATATTGTTCATTACATGTAAGACACAAAATTCATTTGCCAGCTTTCAGGGATGTTGACAAGCCTTTGGCTCCAAGTCCCAAGTCTGACTCCCAAGTCTTTGGTACCAAGTTCTGAGTCCCAAGTCCAAGTCGCTAATAGAAACAAGCTTTTTTCCCAGGAAAAAAGGGAGAGGTGGGCGGGTTCCAAGTCATGACTCAAGTCCGAGTTGAGTCACCAGGGCAACTTAAGTCTGACTTGACACTGCGTCTCATGACTCAAGTCCCCATCTCTGCCAGCTTGATGCATTCTTTCATCAGATTCCCTACTGTTATGCACTTACTTTAGGAATGTGGGCTGAGAATTGGGCTAAGTGAAGAAAGGGAGAGAGAGAGAGAGAGAGAGAGAGAACATAATGTATAAGACTTTTAAAACAATGTATGCAAAATCTTATCTAAGGGCATAAAGAAGGAAAAGAAATAGACCTTGATACATAACCACTCTGCATGTAGCATGGAACAAAGGTCACCTGAATCATGAGCACAATGATACTGCTGCTCTCACCCACATTCCAGGAAGCTTTGTGGTGGTGCATCAATGAATAGTTTGTGGCCGTGAACAAGAACCACTTGTTTATTGCATAATATGATACAGATAGGGATGAAGTAGGAGAAGAGTGCCGTCAGAGTCAAGATGGTTACTAAATAAATGTGCACAAGGCTGCTAGATGGCTTCCTAGATAAGACTGATACCTTTAAGAAGCACAGAGTGGACAGCCTTTCGCCCCCCCCCCTTTCACAGCTGTTCAACCCAGACACAAACCAGCAGGTTTTCATTTCACAGGGCATCAAAACTATCATCTCCTCATTTGCCGGTTTCTTGACAGCTGTTGTTTAAAATGCACGCCATTCGTTGCCCTGCTTCTATGCATGTTAATCTCCTTTGGAATCCTCGAGACCTATAGTTTTGACATCATCTTTGGTACTCATTATATTTGACTCCACCATTATCAAAAGTACCCAAACATATCTAATTGCTTATTGGTGTATTTTGTACTGTTGTATTAGTATTTTGGCTTACATATGATATTTGTACAGTTTTTCAAAAAGTTAATCTTCAGTGGAACAGGAATAAGAAGGAAACATAGAAGCAACCACAGGAATAAGAAGGAAGCATTCTACCTGTAGGTGAGGAAGGGAATAATCTATCAATTTCACTTTTCTCCTGCATCTGAATTTTTTAAAATCTTGTTTCTTTCACTCCTGAACATACGATTTTCAAAATTTTCAAAAACAAACTGGAATTCGATTTCCCATTGTTTTCACAAATTCCTATCTGCATGTGATTGTCCTCACCATATATTTCTAATTTATTGGGCTTTCATACAAACCTCTTTAGCCAAATGAACAGAAAGTAAGATGTTTGCATTTTTGCAATAAAGTTTTCCAAACTTATACGCATGAAGATTTTAAATACTATCAATGCAGATCTCATCTATTAAATCTATATGTTGCATCATATACTTCATCTCTAACTTACAACAACAATCTAACACAAGCAAGTGATAGAGTTGTCTCTAAGGAGTCATTTTAGCTTTTTAGTCAGTATTACTAAATGAGTTAGCATTGCTTACTTAATCATCAGTGTGAGATTTTATTGGACATATTGCAATATTGCAATATTGCAATATGTCCAATAAAGTGTGTATTCAAAGGCCTATCTCTATGAATATATCCTAGCACTATTACACAACTTTAAGTTCAAGAAATGAACTGAAATTCAGCTGATTTATTTCTTTTCCCATATGAGATTTATTGATTGTTTTGTGTGTTTGTGTTTGTATCTGCATATAACCCTAAGGGCATTTACCAGTTGGACAGTCTACAGAAATAAAGAAATAAACAAGCAATCTGTTCCATAGAAAAGAGGGCTCAAAATATCACAAAATTTTGATTTCTTGTGCTTGAGCTGTACACTATAGCCCAAGGTGTCATTCTCTGTGTGTACCTTTCAGAGCAGACAGCTCATAAATAGCATTTCACTAATAGATTTCCATAAGATGAATGACCAAAATACTCCATGCAGATCTTTCATACCTGAAGTCATAAAATTTTGGCTACACTCCACTATTCTGAATGTCCAGCTAAAATCAGTAAAACTCAAGAAGACAAACTATGTCAAACTGCACTTTTTTCTCAGTCTAGAAATACAGCTTTATCTTGCTTATTGTGTGGTCATGAAATAATTCTTGCCTCACAAATGATGGAGCCATAAGGGAAAGTTTATAAAACAGAAAGTTCATAAAACTCATAGCTTTAGACGACATCTGCAATCTATAAGTATAAATGTCAAGATATTGTGAATAATTCTAAAGTAGAATGAATTTTTGTTCCATCATAAAAGGAAACAGCAACAGAAACTTAGATATAATCAAGTTTTAATCTTGCTTTCCCAAGTCTAATTAACTGCCAGTACTTCTACAGCAGCTGCTTTAAGCATAAATTGGAAACAGGAGTCCTAAGATCAGAAATTGAAATGTGTTTTATTTCATTTCTTCCAAAAGCATAAATCTATTTGCCTCAAAGGATCCGAATCCCCACAAGGAAACATATCTTTTGGCTGTACTGATATCTGATGCTGATGAAAAGAAGTTGTCAGTTTATAGCTTCTGGATATGGCTTACCTAGCTGCATTGCAAAGGGATGTAGCAGGGGAGAAAAATATAGAGTGGGAAACTTCCAGGATGCATATAGGATCACAAGGATATGAAAGGACTACATTCCACCTCAGATCCTCAAAAAGGAAGGCACCTAGACTGTTCCATCAACCCAGGTCCCATGACAGATAAATGAAAGACACCTGGTCCCAAGCTGTTCTTTTTTTATAAAGGTTCCTAAAATCTTGGAATATAAGGAGAATTTCTAATGATATGTTCAGCTGGCAGCTTCATGTTTGTATCTCAGAGGAGTTTAAAGTGACCAGATCACATCCTGCAGATATTTCAAACGTTCTGCAAATGACACCATGTTGGATGCATTTTGTGGAAAGCTGAATACCTAGCCCAGCTAAGACAGCATAAGCTTCATATCTGTGAACCTCGATAAATTTGATGCAAGTTTGAGTGCACAGAATGAGACCTGTGCTTCTTGTTGCCCGTGTCTCTTCAGCTCCTCTGAGATTAATCTCCCTTTGGGGAAATAAACAGGATCAATTCTAGACTAGAACATAAAGCCCAGAGAACAAAAAGCACAACCCAATTTTCCACCCTGCTTCCTCATGACACACAAACACCCAGTTTTTTGTCGTGACTCTTGTGGCTCTGAGATAACATTCACAGGCCAGATCTGGTAGGTGCCTTGGAGGTATAGAGAAAAGGTTTAACTTTAAGCCTAAATTTTAATATTGCCCTTTGAAAACTTAAGTATTTTTGCTTTACTGCATCCCAACATATAACTAGCAACTTAATTATAAATGCAAGTTTACTGATAGTAGTAGAGCAGCTTAAATAAATTACGTTTAATTGTGCTGACATGACTGTCCCTCATGACTGACTTGTAGGCTTTGTTTAGGGCAAGTATATGCAAAATTAACCTATGACCTGATTGTAAGTACTCAACAACCTACTGCTTTGGAAGCCTTACCTGTTACCTTTATCTGTTCAGATATATGCAGACAGAACAGCAGACTGTTCACCACTTTGTACATGATTCCTATATCCCTCTTCATATATTCTCCCGGCTGCATGATGGGCTTTTCATTGTGATTGTTGCACGCAGGTGTGTGATGCCCCTGCGTGCATTCTACAGCCATATGATGAGGGCCAACAATTTAAGCATTTCTTCCCTCTATCAGTGCTCCTCTGGAAGGGAGCATACCAATCACATAAGAACATATAGTGAGCCCTGCACCACAACCTCATGGAATAGGGTGCAATGGCATCACAGCACATTTTTACAAGACTGAGGAGAACTCAATATTCTCAGCACATATGGGAATCAAAGACAAGCAAAGCTGATGAATTACAAGGCATGGATAATAAAGAGACATCTGGAGAAAGAGTTTAGACAGAGGATGGCAAATTCACTAGAGTCAAGGGTCATTCAGATTTGCTGGTAAACCTAAGGCCCACAGCCCTGATGTGCGTTGTTTAAAAAAAAACATAACCACCTACTGTAAATGTTACTGCAATGGTTTTTTTGTTAACTTAAAAATAGGTTTAGCTTTGAAGGAAAAAGACTAAACTGAAAATGCATCCTTTTAAAAAATTGAACAATATGGGGGTGCAGGAGTTCTGGCATTGGTCATAGCATTAGGTCATAGCATGGAGCAGGCAATATAATCTTCTGTGCTTCTGGACAACCAGGAAGGAGTCCAGAGGTCATGCAGTCAAGGCTTTAAAAGGGCTGCAACATGGTGCAGCCTTAAATATGGGAAGATTGCCCTCCAAACATCCAAGACAGCACTAGGGGACTTTTGCACATTTTGTTTCAAAAATATTTCTAAAAGGGACTGCAGGGCACTTGGGCCCAAAGTGACACTAAAGGATGCAAAAGTGGTCCATGAGTCTCATGAGGTCAACATTTTTCCCACTCTCTTTTTTGAAAGAACATGGGGCGATGGGTATGCACAGCTTGTGACCACTGCATTATTATTTTTTTAAAAAAATAAAATAAAATATGCTACACCCACTCCCTTTTTTAGAAGAACATGGATATGCTTTTAATCTGGAACAGATAGAGAAAAAAATATTTATTCCACCAGCTTCTCCTTTACACCCAGTTGGAGAGTTGGAGAAATTCCCAGAAAACCTGAAAGGATGGATTGAAAATTTATTAAGACAGAGACAAGTTATTAGAATTAAAGAATGGTAATATGAGGAATAAAGAGCAAATAAAAGAAATGATCAGATTGGATGAAATATCTTTGTATAATATTATTCAATGTTTGCCAATCTTGGGTCGCCAGATATTTTTGGACTAATATTCCCCAAACTCGCCTTCACAGCTAGCAGTGAAAGCTTCTGGGAGTTTTAGTCCAAGAGCACTTAGGGACCCAGGGTTAAGAACCACTGAATTAGAGGAATGAACAAAGGATTAGGTAAAAAGAAATGGTAAATGTAAGAAATTTACAAAATATGGAGGGATTATCTTACAAAAGGAAAGTGCAGGTGAAGATAGGAGGACAGTACGTAAAATTTACAAATTATTGGAAGAAAAAGATGAGGAAGATTTACATAAAACATGGGAATATGATCTGGGGAAGATATAAGTACCAATGTTTGGAAAAGAAATATGAAATATTAGAATATTGAAATTTATGTCAGAAAGGATAAATTTTTTTATATATATAATTTAGTTGTAGATGGTACTTAACTCCAGTGAAATTAAATCAAGTGAATGCCAATTATTCTAAGATGTGCTAGAAAGGATGCAAAAAAGCAGGTGCTTATTTTCATAGAGCAATTGGTTTTTAAGGAAATAAATTTTTAGAGTATGACCTAAAATAACGCTTTTATTAACATTTGAAAAGGAGGAATGTAATCAAAATTTTAAAAAACCAAAAGAATTAGCTTCCAACTTGTTAACAGTAGTGAGGCTGATTATAGCTAGGAGCTGGAAAACTACATATAATTTCCAATTAAATGATTGGTATAGGGAAGTTTGGGACGTAGCTATTAATTATATGGTAACATAGTTAGGAAGAAGGAAATGCCAAGTAAGGATGAATTTAGAGACCTATTGGAAGAATTTATTAAGTTTGTACTGATAAAGAGGAAGAGGCAGCCCCCCTCACAAGAGTCATTACAATTCTGGAAGGGGAAGGGGACTCCATGGAAATAAATGGTTGCAACTCCCAGTTGGTCTTGGTGTAGGGAAACACTATGTTTAATAGACGTTTATTAAGTGGTTATTAAGTGTTTATATGCTTTTGTTAAAATTAAATTATTAAAAAAGAAAATAAGAAGAAGAACCTGAGAGCACTGCAGCTCAATGAAAACATACAAAGCTGTTCTATTTGTGTGTTTGTTGTTGTTGTTGTTGCTGTTGCTGCTGCTGCTGCTGCTGTTAGTTTCACATTACATGCTCTAACAGGCATGGAATAACTACTGGCAGAACAGATCTTAGGCAGAAAGAGGTCTTTCTCATCACATGCAACCTGAGCCTTTCCAGAAGGCTTGTGTTGAACTATGATCCTTTGAAGGATCACTACCTCCGGGTAGTGTGGGCGGCATATAAATTAAATAAATAAATTAAATAAATAAATAAAATCATGTTTGAGCCATGATATAAGTATCTCCCTTATCTATTCCTATCTTTATTCCTTTCCAAGTATACACACACTGATATAAAACTATTAAGTGAAGAAAAATTCAAACATGCAGAACCTTAAGTAACTAGAAAAAGAGAAGAAGGGATATAACTACAAATTGAATACTACAAAAAAGAGGAAAGGGAGTGGGGGATGGGGAATGTCTTTATAGCAGGGGTCATCAACCCCCGGTCCGTGGCCCAGTGCCGGTCCGTGGGCTTGCTGGAACTGGACATGGGTCTCCGCCCCCCAGCCCCACCCGGGGTGTGTGTCGCACTTGCGCACCGTGCTGGTGCTAAATGTTCCCCCAGCACCCCTCACAGGAGAGCAGTGCCCCTTCCCTGCCGCCCTCCCAGATCCTCAGAAATTCTGTAGACAACCCCAGCCCAGCCCACCTTTCCCACCCAGGAAGAGTCAGCCAGGCAGGAAGCAGCAGGATCGCGCATGTGCTCCCACCCGGCCACTTGCCCTGGGTGGGGTGGTGCCGAGCCCGGTGGCCAGTCATTGGTGCTTCCTGGGTAGGCTGCCCCACAGCGGCTTCCGCACAGGGGAGGGGCACTGCTCTCCTGTGAGGGGTGCTGGGGGAAGGTTTAGCACCAGCATGGCATGCCCCTCC